AAGACGAGAGGTGTGTTAGGGAATAGGTCTTCATTGAAAGTATAATGTTGATGTAATGGACTAAGATAGATTAGTGTTATGAGTGACAAGATATTAGAAATGAGGTATGAAGAAGATGAGAGTGGATGGGAAAAGAGTATAATGAAGAAAAGAGACGGACTGGAGAAATAGAAGAGTAGTTTGGATATGCGCTCGAATTTAGAATATGTTAATTAGGAGAGAGAATTTACGCACACACGCAAGACGAGCAGCCATTGGAATGGAATGATGGAGAGGAGATTATAAAAGAATGTAATGAGCGGCTTTGTCGAATATATATGATAAGGAAACGATACACGGAATGAGATGTATATGAGAAGTGATGTTAGAAAAGTGAGTAGAGAAATGATTCGGCAAGGGTACATCCATGATGCAATTGGAGTGAATAGAGAGGTGAAATTCTCATGAGTATAGAGAGAAGATTGGTGTGAATCTCACGAGATATGAGTATTGGAGCAGACTGTGCAATCTGGCATAGCAGATGAGTGTGTAGGATTTGGAGTGGTAGTATGTGGTGAAAGAGGAGTGCAGTGTAAGGCCGTGTGAGATGCATTATGAAGGAGGTAGCGGTGGGTAGAGAAAGGGCGTAATGTCAGAAAAAGTGAATGTGAAGAGGAGGGGACGGAATAGAAGATAGGGGAGGCTGAAAGGCGTTGATGTGGAGGAGTTCGTAGAAGGGACGGATATGTAGGTAGGATCGCAAAGGAGGCAGGTGAATAGTAGAAAGAAATGTGATGAAGAAGACACTAGTGTACTGGTGTGAGGAGGAACGTAAGTGGATGAGCAGTGTAGATTGAGACGATAGATAGGAAAAGTGTGTGGGTGAGGGATAGATAGAGGGCGATCGTAGGGTGGAAGGACAGGATGATAGGAGAGAAAGTAGAGAAGAGGGCGTGAGGAGGGGGGGATGAAAAGGAGGATAATGTGGAAGATGTGTGGATGCGTAGGGAGAAGAATAGAGGAGGGTGAAAGCGGTAATGTGGAGGTGGGATGAGGAAGGTCGGTAAGTTTGAGGTGTGCTGGAGGCTTATGGTAGTTAGGTATGTGTGTGGGAAAGGGCGCTATGTGGGGGTTTGTGAAGGCGTATGATGTGGGGTTTGATAGGAGGCGGGGGAGGCGAGTGGGTGGAGGTGCTTTCAGTGGGCCGAGGGAGACAGGGGAGGCGTTTCATGCAGGCATGCAGAGAGCTACCCGTCATGGCCTGGAAATCGACGTGTGCAGAAAGAGAATCGAGGATGAGAGCACACACCAGAGAGAGAGAGCGGAGCATCTCGTTGCGATAAGCAGAGAGGTACTGAACGTAATAAGGCTGAAGACGCTTACGAGCTGCTACAAGCGGCGGGCTGGTCGAGCAGAGCGCTGAGGACGTAAGCTGCAGAGCAAGAGAGAAAAGAAGAGAGAGAAAGAGAGAGATAAGAGAGAGAAGAAAGAGAGAGATAAAGAAAGGAGAGACGAGAAATAGAGAGAGAGAGAGAGGAGGGCGAGAGAGGTTAGAGAGGAGAGAGAGAGAGGAGAGAGGAGAGAGTATAAGAGAGAGGCCCTGGAAAATTAACAGGAACAGTGCGTCCCGATTGGGTGACAAAAATGCAACGCAAATATGATTCGGCTATGAAACATTCTCCCCGCAGGGAAGGGCAAAGGTACGGTTTTGGACTTATCGGAGGGGGAAAGCGGGGGTGAGCTCGGCCGGGAGCTGAGTAGAGAAAAACATTATTAGGAGAGAATTGTAGGAGAAAGACGTGGCTCTTAGATAAGACTCAGAGTGAGGAACATTATTGTCGTCTCGGGGCCCATTCAAGCTCGCAATTACGAGCCGCGGCGCCCGTGTGTCCGTGTGTCCTCGGAGCGCGACTCTGGCAGCTCGCCGCGCCTTTGAGGACTCCGAGCCATGCCCTCACAGCCCGAATGAGTCCGGTGACCTCACACGCCTGCGTCACCGCATCACGCCCAGCGCTCGCCAGAGCGAAGGTGAATCACGAGACGAGGACAGCCATCCAGCCGGTCTGCGAGGTGCCGACAAAGAGCGGTGATAATCCGGTATTTAACCGAAGACGAATCCTCCCCTGATTACGTCACGTGTTTCTTCTCTGGGTATTCCGTGAAGTTTCAGCGTGCCGCGCTCAGGCATGGTAACGTCGTGTGTAGGGATCTACACCACAAGGAAACAGACACGAGTGAGGATATACAAGTTTTAATTTCACACCTGTACATATTTACAACCTCACTCTAAGTGGTTTGCCAGAGCTACAACTGCAGCCCTCCTCTCCTACATTGCCTTGCGGCGACGCCTATGACCAGCCAGCAAGGCCGCGTCGTAGTATGGTGCGCTGGTGTGCCGGCAGATTGACGATCTGCCGAATGTGTTTGAAGAACACATCACCCTGTCGGAATCGTCGAACAACCAGTGCCTCGGCACTCGCACCAGCCTGGGCGACAAAGTTTTTTGTGGTCTAGCCACGAGGAAACCGAAACGTTACCCCTGCGCGGTCTCGCCACGGGTCGTTTATAGGTGCAGGTCACCTGACCTCGCTATCTACTCCCCCCCCGCGCGGTGGAAAGCTTTCCCTGGCGCTGCCTGGCCCGCGGACCATTTCCCTGTCGGAAGGTCCTTCTTTGTTTATTTCTATCTTTAGATCCCCCAGCCCTCTACCTTGCACTCGGCTGCTGCCAAGCCGTGACGCTACAGACTTTTTTCTTTAATTATTGTAGACAAAACCCCCAAAGTTAGTGTTAAGATGTTCCTTCCTAGCTATTACAACAATGAGCTGATTGCGCGAAGTTGGTAGGCAGTCTTTGTCGCTCTCTTGCGACGTGTAACTTCTCTGGCAGCTAATGTTAGGAATAAATTAATTTTTGCCCATTAATGAAATGATTTACTCGATATTTTCACAACCTCCCTTCTCTTCCATCCATTCATTGTAGGAATGAACCAGCGACTCGACTGAGCTATAAAAGTTACAGTATATTCACTGTAAGTATTCGTTATTGTTCATTATTAAAACAAGTAAATTTCGTGTTACATTAGTGTATTTATTTTTATAACAAAATGTTCAATTAAACAGAAAACACTGAATGTTGATGTTCATCTAGTTTGTTCCTCAAGACCAAGAATAAGACTTGCAGATAGGGAGACTTTCGATATCCTGTACTACATGTGTATGTGACTTTTCATCATTTTATTTCATTATTATTCTTTATGTACACCATTATGTACACCATCCCTGAAAACTTCCCAGAGAGAAAGTGGGAATGTAACACGCACTCACGTTTTGGCCAGTTCGTCGACCGCGTTGTCATCCACGAAGGAGGAGGAGCAGAGCCAGACCCCTGGGAAGGGCACGTCCCAGTTGTGGAAGTCGGTGTCGAGGCCGGTGATGGTGGGGTTGGTCTGGAACTTCTCCCACAGGGACACGATGATGATCAGCGTGGCAACAGTGCCCACTATGATGCAGAAAAACCAAAGGAATCTGTTCAAAAAAGAATGAGACTGTTCAGAAGAAACCAGCGGTGCAAAAACAAAACCCAGCAATTCTTGTAGCTTTAGTAACGGCCATATAAAATAAAATAATTGTATTGAATACCGTATTTTGAGCGGTGCTACTGTTTCAAAACGTAGTTTCTTTGGTGACGTACATTCGTTGCTATGACTAGTATCAGAAAACGTGTCGAGTTTTAAACATGTTTCCCTTCTCACTCATAAATTAACATTTCTCTTTTCCCAAACGTGTGGTATATGAGGATGGATCATAATCGCGTGAGATGACTTAAAATATTCTTTACATTATCTTGATCATGTTCCGTAGACTCACTTCTTGTTCTCAAAATGAACAGTACGTGTAGCTTTGTTGGTGTTTTAGATATTCAATACTTGTTTCAAATGGTTGGAAAACGGTTATGGAAGGTTGAGAGGACAATTCAAATGCTATTTGCTGCTCAAAATATGAAAGAAATTATGAAAATTTTGAAATATGATAGAAATATATGCTAGGATAGAAAAACAACATTTTCTATGTATTTTCAATTACCTCTCACAAAAACTCTGAAGTAGTCGCTAATAATTTTATGAAGTTGCTATTTATTAGATCTCCCCGCCTCATATGTGGGGAGATGTGGGTGGCAGAAGAAACTCTTCAGATTAAAATTTTACCGATGCCACCAAGTTCTCGAAATTTATTCAAAGCACATTTTTATATACAGTTTGTCTTTTGATCCTCCTAGCGAGAATGTGAAAAATTAATGCAATTATTGCACGAGATCGTTAACGCAGTATGGCCGTAGCGATCTCAGACCGTAGGATCGCAGGTTCGAGTCGTACCTCGGGCAGAATTGTATTTGCGTTTGTCCTTTCACCCCTTCTCATCACCCTACCATGTCATCTTCAGTTACCATAGCGTTAAAAGCAATATTGGTCGCTAATGACCTACATGTTCATGCGACCTTAAATAACAAAAGAACTCACTTTTCCCTGAAGGGCCTCTTCTCCTCGCGAATGAATCGCACGCCGTGCAGCGAGCTGTTGTCGAAGTAGCTCTGCAAGTTGTAGCGCAAGCTGGTTCCTAGCAGGCGGTACTTCTCGCCCACGCCGCCGCCCCCCTTGCCACCGCCGCCTCGCATCAGCATCTTGCACTGCTTTCAGTCAACTCGCAATCTTAAATGCACTTTCCATTTTAAACGCCTGCAAGAAGGGTTGCGATAAATTGAATAAATTGATTAATATTGATTTCATGGATTTTAATAATTTTAATAATCACTTATTAAAAATTTCTAATCTAAACCATCATTCGTGGTCTAGTTTTCATTAGCGGTATTCAGAATTGTGTTTTATTTACGACTGTCTTTATGTTACTTAATAAAATGTATTTATTGATTCATTATTTAAACTTGACACATTATCTACAATGACACAATGTATAACACTAAATTTTTAAAATAGAAGTATCTTCGAATTATTAACACGTAACTCATAGTAAGACAAAACATAGTATGCAAGAATGCAATATTTTTCGTTAACTTGTTATTAAATGGCGAGTCAATTATGCTGCTTAACAATCAACTGCAAATGTATATAATAGTCTTCAATGGTGTAAAAAATGTTTCCACAAATTAATTGTAACGTCGTGACGAGGGGCCAGATGGACAACACATGTCGGAAGGCCAGCGAGGGGGCGGGGGCGGTCCTTTCGGCGGCAAGCGAAGGCCACCAGAGGTGGCCCCTCCTCAAGGGCCCGGTGGCGGCTGACTCGGAACGTGAATGTGAACTGGCACAGAGTATGATGGGTGAGTCCAGCCGCGGTGCGCTGGGACTCCAAAATTGCAAACAGGCCCACGTTCGGGATGAGAAGACGCCGCCGGCATGTTGAGGTCTTCACGTGACCCCTCGGGAGGCGGCTGGAGAGCAACAGCCGTGGCCATTCGAGTTTGAACCGAATCGCAGTGCGAAGCACATTCACCCGCCAGGGTTATCGCGAGCTTTGGCAGCGAGGTGTGGCGGTGCCACGGGACAAAAGCCAGAGCGGCGCCAAGCCGCTGGGTCTACGTCAGGCTGGGGCGGGGATGCCTCAGAATGTACCATCTGGGAGTGAGCGCTTTCCGAGAGATATGTATATTGGTAATCAAAATTGTAAATAAAACTGTATAAACAACTCCGTGTCTGTGTGTTACTCGCACCCGACGACGCCACATAATAAAATGTAACTGACCTATAATTTTAAGGAACATTTTTGATATTATCCTATTTTCATTGCATAGTATTTCAATAATAACTAAATAGTAAGTTTTATAAGCGGTTTAAAAATTAATGTATTAAATTAATGTAAGTACGTAAATAAGTAAGCTGTGCATATGCAAAAGATGAAGCCCAAATGAAGCCTCTGAGCAAAATTAAGTCCCGCATGGCCCATCGTCCGAGTGGAGCGAAATTTGCGTCGTCAGGCGGAAGAGCAGGCCTCGTGGCCTGAGCCTCGTCACGAAAAATAAGGCATCTTTGAATTGAATACGTCTGTAGCTATGAATGGCCGTGAATTAAAATTCAAAATTTGCAAGAGAATATTTTTAATCAATGATATTTAATATATATTTTTCCTAAATTCCTCCATAATGTTAATGCTTCTCTTTGATCAATTGAATAAAGTATACATCTGAAAATCACTTTATTAAAACAAATTTGATTTAAATAAGGTTTTTCAAAAATGAGAGAATGAAACCATGGCAATTTGCCCTACTTTCGGGACTAGCAATTGTGGCTGCATTTGATAATGAATCCCAACAAGCTCACTGGGAAACTTCTCCAATCGTAGACTAAAAATGGCCAACACGTGGGATACAAATACTGAAACAATTAAGAACAAGCATTACAAAATACTGACGTTAGTAAAAACACTGTTTCACAAAATACACTTCGAAAAAATACAAAATTGAAATCCATGAAAATCGCTATATGTACTGAGCTAATAAAGACAATTCACTGAGTAGAGATAAAAAAGTGTTTTGGAAGGACCAGTTCACAGACAAACATATGAATATACAAAAATAAATAATTTTAATTAACATGCACATGTACAATTAAATGTTGCATCACCAGATGTTTATAATTCTTAGTTCGACATATGACACTTTCAGAACAAACCTCAATGACAATGCATGATTATATTGAATTATGGAGAGCCATCCAGACTCTTAAGATGCAATGTTCAAATACATACTCATGCAAATTTGAAAAACGTTTAGGTAAAATGGTATTTTTCGAATTTAATTTCAATAGCAGTACACATTATATCTACATAATTTTGTGGTGACACTCGAGTAAACGCTACTCATTGAAGATATTTAATTTGCATATAAAATGAAGTATCTGGTTACATTTACTTTAATTACAAAAAATATTCACTATTATATTCACTATACGCATTTATTGAAACTTTAAAAAAAATTGAAAGATTATCAATTAGTCTTTTGAACCGGATGTATTTATGCATTGATAGCATATCATACTGTTTCCAATGAGTAAGGAATTACAATGAGACGTTTTGTATTTTCATATTGTACTATATTATTTTGTAAGTCCAATTCAAGTTCAATAGGGCTGATGAATTTACTATTTTTAAGGTAATTTATAATAATCAAACTGCAAATGTTCATACATTTTAATAACATTATGCTTCTGATAAAACTATGAGAATTCCGGACGTAATTGTTCTAACAACGAAGACGGGAAATGAGACGAATTATAAAAAAAGCCCAGAAATTTTTTAAGTTCCATTGTGGCATATATTTTCATTTAAAATTTACTTCAAATCTGCTTTGTGAATATCTGATCAGTTTGTAGCACATGAATTAGTTGTATTTCATTAACCTGTTTATCAAACGTCGAAATGAAGTCATAAATATTTGCTTATGAGTGAAACTTCACCCTAGGTCGCATTACCCCCTACTTCATGTCGGATTTCCAAACTGAAATAGTTTTCACATTCGTATGATTTTCTCGCAGAACTCAGAATCAAATCATAGGCCTCTTTTAAAACAATAATCACTTAGTAACTCGAACTAATGAAATTTGGTAATTGTACCATTGTTTTTGAAGTAGTAAGTTGTAAATCATATCAAAATTAAAATTATTTTCTATAAAATATGCAACGTTGATATGTAATCTCATAACTCCAGTGTACTCTAGATTTGAGGTTACAACTAGCTCACTCGTATAGATTAAAAATTTTTAATAATAATACATAACAAAAAATATATAAAATTTGTTTATTTACAATGTCCTGTAAATAATTTTTGTCGGTAATTAATTGAACACTTGAACTGAGGGAGATAATTAATAATTAATTTTCTTTTAGAATAATAAAGGCATTATTAATTACCTTCTCAAAAACTTCGAGTGTTTTAATGATCGCAAAAAATGGTGCATATTTTATTGAATGAACGCAGTATCAGTGAAATTAAGTTATCTTCATGAACGCACACCACATGCGTATAAAAGCATCAATTACAAGCGCTATGATTAGTTTGTACATGTTACTTGGCGTATTTTACAGCAGAATCTATCGTAGAACAATGTAAACATGTAGAGAGCTCTACAAAGAAATTAGTCTACCTGAATGAAAACTACATCATCTTTAGTTTTTATAAAATGTTATCTTAAGTCTGCATGAAGGTACATAACGATTGAAGCTAAGTGAAGATCGCTGGGTAAACTTTAGTCTGAGTGTACTAGTTCAAAAAGCATGTAAGCAAGGATGCAAAAATCAATAACAAAAAGAAACAAAAATATATTGAATTGAGAAATCTGGAATAAGTCAAAATTTGACATGATAAAATTCAACAGATTTATCAAGAAAATTTCCCAACATTATACAATCGTTATGACTCATACGCTGCCATCCGAGCACAAATGTGACATACAAAACTCCAACAGGTTTCTAATTTTCTGTATTCATTATAACCAACAAATGAGTAAGTTTCGAACAATTATGATGACTCTGCTGGAATTGACCTAATTTCGTGTCGCAGATCGAACCCCACGTTTTCACCACATGGCTCTCGAGTACCGATGCAAGATGGTAGATAGTCTTTGTAATAAGAATAAGCAAGAAAACGCACATAAACGTTATTGCCTACAAAGTGTAATCATATAAAAAAGAAGAAAGAGATTTTGGGGAAAAGTTGGATAAGCTGGACACTACATTTTAATCGTGAAACAAACACTCTAATACATTGATTTTAACTTAGTAATGTCCACTTATTTTAGGTTTTAATGCTCTTTAGTATGAGTATTCTTTAACCTTTACTACCAGGTCACTTTCTTCGTTAATTCATGGAGACAAAATAAAATAAAACAGTTTAAACAGAAGGGAAATAACCAAACAAAAATGATACAACTAAATCAATCAACCAACCGTTCAAATATGTGTGAATAAATCTTCACTGAATTTGATTTATGTTTGTCCAAGAACTTTATGTGACGAATGAGGGAAAAGTTTGATTAAAAAAGGTTTCTTGAGTTCTTGAACAAAATATAAACATACTTGATAAATTTAGCTCAATGAATGGAAATAATATCAAATAGAACTTTCATATAAAGAACAATGGAAATAACATTAAGATAAAAGTATGAATAAATTAAATATCGAATATGGGTGTAAGTAAATTATTATTTTTCGATATAAAATGAAGTGGTGGTTTAATTAATTCGATTGTATTATGCATGTGTTGATCGTTCCTTCTATTTTCAAAATATACGAATATTGTTATATATATATTAAAAACACTTAAAGCCTTTATTTACTTAAATTATTGCATTTTTGTTGTAATGAATGATACTGAAAGAGTTTAGTTCATTGTAGAATCTCAAGGAAAGTGAATTGCTCACTAAAAAGGTAACGAATGCATCTATGTTACTTTTTTCCTTCATATCGTCAAATATACACAAAATACAGTCATTTTTTTTAAATGTAGCTTCATCATTGAAAAAAATAGAAAGGCAACTTGAAACTCTGGCATAAAATAATGATAAACTTCCAAAGTGTGGCTTTGTCATTATAAATTAATAGAGATCGCAAAGAAAGATATATTACGAAAGAAGGAATGAAATTAAAAAATAAAGTGTGATGTGTAAGCCGAGTCGACTGTCCACGGAGACCATGCAAGGAGACATTACTAGTGCAGTGTAGTGGC